AGCTCCAGAGGTGTCCGGGGTCTGTTCTCGGCGTCCCCTGAGCTGTAGAAATGGCAGAGTATCTCAACCTTGGCAAGTTTAAGGTGGGTGGACTTCAACTCCCAGGATTCCCCAGGCTTCACATCACCAAGGTTGGAAAGCATAGGGAGGGGGGCGTGGAATCCTTGCACCCGTCTTAGGAAGGGCAGCCTCGCGTGTCTGACTCCGGGGTCTCCTGGCCTCCTCAGGTGACGCAGCTCTCCAGCTACTTTGAACCTTTGGTTCTGGCGGCCGTTGGCGTCGTCTCCAAGTTGATGAATCACCAGCAGCAAATGAACCTGCTGGATCAGACCAAGACCTTGGCGGAATCGGCCCTCCAGATGCTCTACGCGGCCAAGGAAGGAGGGGGGAACCCAAAGGTAGATCTGTCGGTGGCGCTGGGGGGTGGGTGGGAATGGAGCAGGTACCGGAGGGGGGGCAGATCCATCCCAGCAGGGAAGTGGCCTGAGGTGGCCTCTTTGGCCGTGGCAGATTCCCAGTGAAAGGCGAATCCTTCTCGGCTCTGCCAATGAAGCCTTGCAACCCTCCTTTGGGGAACACGGTGGAAGCCCCTCAGAGTGGGGGGCCTCTGGAGACGGCCGGGGGGGGGGGGGGGGGTTGGCTTTGGAACGTGGTTCCTTAGAAGAAGAAGAAGCACTGCGGACATTTTAAAAACAAATGGGCAGATGAAGGAGACCAGTTCCGAGCAGCTGTTGTGTTTGCAGGAAGTTTTTAAAACAGAAAGAAACACTTCAAGCTTCAGGATAATCTGGGTGGTTTTTTTCACTAGTAGTCCTCAAGTTATGACTGTAATGAGAGCTGCCCATCATGCTTGAAATGGTTGTAAGTCGAGGACTAGCTGTGTTGTTCTTCCTCAACCGACTCTTCACTTGCACACAGATGTGTGCAACGGAGAGCCCGTCATTTTTCAGCCTTGCCAACCTGAAGATGGGGGGGGCCCCTCCCACTCCCCAAATTCCCAGCCAGCCTGGGCTCACTCAGGATAACGGGAGGTTTCACTTGGCAAGTGGGGAGGGGGCCGCCACCCGGAGCCAGTTTGTTCCCCGAAACGGCTCTCATTTGTCAGAAGGAAATTTCAGCAAGAAAACATGATTTGCATGTTACAAGTCTAAAAATACGCTCCTTGGGAGCAATCACGTTTCAGACGCCGGGAGGTACATGATGAGCTCTNAATAAATCCAATCCAATCCTTTTCTGGGGCAGAGTTGAAATATTGGGGGTGGCCCTCTTGTGGGAAGGAAATCTGTGCCAGTCTCAGAGGGCGCCACCAGGGGGCGCTTGCCACATCTGGGAGGAACGTTGGAAGGTTGATCTCGTTTCTCTCCCTCAGCTCGAGAAATGTGCCCAGGACTTGGGAAGCACCTCCAAAGCTGTGGGTTCCTCCATGGCCCAGCTGCTGACCTGTGCCGCCCAGGGGAACGAAGACTACACAGGTACAAATGCCCTTTGCCCTTTCGGCCGTGCCGCCCCAGGTGAGGCCAGGGGGCAGGAATCCCTGCCTTGCCCAGTGCATCCAGCCAAAGAGAGTTTTACGGTTGAGAACAATTCCTAAGACATTTGCAAACCATTCCTAAAGTTGACTCTGTGGCCTTGATAAGCAGCAGGGAGGAAAAGAATATTTTGCTGGCCACCTGTAGTGGGCAGAGGCTGAAGGGTCAACGCGGGGCTCGGGGGGAGGCTTGGATCTCTCCAGGATCTCTTGCAATAAAAGGAAATGATTCCAGCCGTTTCTAACCCACAGTCGGAACCAGACTTTGGATCAATGCGCATAAAGTAGCATGGTGGGGTGCTGTGACCCAATTTCCTCTGGGCCCCACATTTCAGTACAGTGACCCCTCTGATGCTGAACCCGCTGTTCATTTCACCTCGAAGTTGAGGATTTGCACGCGGAGATCCTCTTTGGGGGCTCCTGGCCGGTTAGCAAAAAGATTTGCGCATCGATGAAAATGCTTTCGTGTCGATCATGTTGCCTCTCGGCCGGCTTGTCCACGGGAGATTTCGAAGTCGATGAGGCTAATTAGGAGGCCCCCCCCTCTGTGCGGCCAGGACGGAGGCCGCCTGGGTCTGTGAGCCCTCATTTGAAAGCTGCAGTAATTGGATGAGGAGGGAGCTGGAACATGGAGACCCCCTTCTGCCCTCTAGGAAGAAGCTACAGGGATTTCCAAAAGGGGGGGGGCATTAAACGCCCCCTCCTTTCTGGGAAAGGCTCCCAGGCCGAGATACACTCTCCGTCCACTGGTGGGCTTGGGGGAAGAGTTCCCCTGGCTTTGCAGAAAACGCTGGAACGCACGCCCTGCTTCGGCTTCCTCTCTGCCCTCGGGACCTCTGGAATTTTTGGGGTGATCCGGGAATCAGGAGCAGGTGCGAAGGCTTAGCTGGGAGAAGAGGTGGTGGGCCTGCAACGGCACGAGCTGGGAGGGGCTGCTCTGACAGCGCATCCTTAACCAGAGGAACTCACTCCCACTAGAGGTGGGGAAAGCTTTGAAAGAGATTCATTGGCAGGAAACTCGTCAAGAGTGGCTGATACGAGATGGCATCTTCTCTCCGGGTCTTCTTCACAACCTGCTTATTTTATGTGTCCGTCCCCCCCCGGCCTATTTTAGCCAACTCTTGGCAATTCACGTGAATAAAAGCAGCACTCAGTAAAATGCAGGAAGTGGTGGACGATAAAGGCAGCCATGTAAACTTGGCTTTCTGAACAAGGCCGTCCAATCTTGGGGTGGGGAAGAAGTCCCCATGAGGAGGGATGGGCAGCTCCAGAGAAGCACTGCTTTCTCCCCCCCTCCATCTTGTGATTTGGGCTCTGCGGAAGAGACTGGCCCTCGAGATGCCCACTGGCCACGGGGCTCAGCCTCAGCCCCTCTTGTCTCCTCCTTGGGAGAGGCAGGGCCGGCCTGGAGGCTGCTGACCGGATTTCCCTGCCTTCTTCCTCCAGGAGTGGCTGCGCGGGAGACGGCCCAGGCGCTGAAGACCTTGGCACAAGCGGCACGGGGCGTGGCCGCATCCACGGGCGACCCAGCCGGGGCCCGCGCGATGCTGGACTCTGCGTGGGACGTGATGGAAGGCTCCGCTCTGCTCATCCAGGAGGCCAAGGAGGCCCTGGTGTCCCCGGGGGATGCCGAGAGTCAGCAGAGGCTGGCCCAGGTGGGCGCAGAGCAGCCGGGGAGAGGAGGGGGCTGCCCCACCCAACGGCCACCCACACCAGGACCACTCCCGGCAGAAGGGGCTGTGTGTGGCTGTGGCTGCTCGGACTGTCCCGCTCCTCTGCCTTCCTGGCCCAAAATTCTCCCCGAGTTCAGGAGGGTCTGCAGGCCAGAGTGGAGCCATGGAGGCTGCTCCTCCCGGGTTTCTGTGTGGTTGAGATCTGTAACCCCTCCCCAGGCAAGACCCCCCCCCCTGCCTGAATCCCTGGAATTCTCCTTCCCTCCGAGCCCCCGTTGTTCCCCCCTGCAGCCCAGTTGCCTCGGCTTCCTTGTTGTCCTCTGATCCAGCCCAGGGGGCTCAACTGTCAGGGCCTCAGGAAAGGGGGCTGGGGGGGGTGTCCTGGGGCTGCTTGCCTCCCTCTGACCTCCCTCTCGCCTGGCGCTGGCTCTCCTTTAGGTGGCGAAAGCCGTGTCCCATTCGCTGAACAACTGCGTCAACTGCCTCCCTGGCCAGAAGGACGTAGACGTGGCACTGAAGAGCATCGGCGAATCCAGCAAGAAGCTGCTGGTGGAATCGGTGAGCCGTGGCCGCCGTGTTTCAGGAGGCCACCTGCCCCTTTGCCGAGGGCTCCCCTGAGGGGCTTTGCGTGGGTCGGCCGGGCCTTTCAAAACAAGGGTGGAATAAAACATGGGGGTGGGGGGGCTTCTGGCCTTTGCGTTGCCTGGGGGGGAGGCTGAGGCTGGTGTGTGTGTGCGCAAACTGAAGCAGAACCCGCAGATTCTTCCCCCGTTTCCCTCGGTGGCTTTGTCGAGGGGGAGGGTGCAGGGCAGGACCCTCGGGTGTTGGGGGACGTTCCGGGGCCCAGCCACGGCTTCCTAACCCCACCCTCGCCTTGCAGCTGCCCCCCAGCTCCAAGTCATTCCAGGAAGCGCAGAGCGAGCTCAACCAGGCGGCGGCCGACCTGAACCAGGCGGCTGGGGAGGTGGTGCACTCCACGCGGGGCCAGAGTGGGGAGCTAGCGGCCGCCTCGGGGAAGTTCAGCGAGGACTTTGATGAGTTTCTCGACGCGGGGATTGAAATGGCCGGCCAGGCTCAGGTAGGTGCCCCCTCCCCTCCCCCTGCTGCTCTCTGGGCTTCTCCTGCTGGACCTTCTGCTGGGAAGGGGCCTTCCGGGGACCACCGGGCCACACCCGATGCATCCATGCAACGTTCCAAGGCATTTCATGGCTGATGCTTCCTCTGGGTCTAATCTACCTCTGCGGGGTTTCCTAGTGGTCTCCTTCCCAATGCTGCTCAGCTCTCTAGCCGTGTTTGACCACTAAACTCCTGCTTAGGGTCCAGAGCGACATGCTGGACCCCAGGGCTCTAGGAGGGTCTCTGCCCTCGGCCCCTCCAGCTGAGCCGCTGGAAGCCCACCCTCTGGGCTGGCTCTCAGCCTCCTCCTCACGAGGATCGTCCCTGCAGCCTCACTGGCCCATCCTTTGTGCCCGGGACGGATTTGCCGGGCAGGGAAGCCGCTGGAGCAGCTGTGCCTGGTGGTTCTTTGTGCCAGGCAGAGACGGGGCTGCCCAGGGGGGTGGGAGGCTCTTTCCCAGTCAAGGCCCGATTGTGGAAGCCTCGTCTGCTCAGCTGGGGGTCCTTGCGGTGATCTGGGTCTCCGTCTGCACCGCCCCATCCAACGGGGGCTGCCCCCAATGCTGCTGGAGCCAGGAATAGAGTTGGGGGGCTGGGCCCAAGCAGTGACACCCCCCTCCCTCCCCGGGGCCTTGTCTGCTTCACAGACCAAAGAGGACCAGATCCAGGTCATCGGGAATCTGAAGAACATCTCCATGGCTTCCAGCAAGCTGCTTCTGGCAGCCAAGTCTCTTTCGGTGGACCCCGGTGCCCCCAACGCCAAGAACCTCTTAGCGGCCGCTGCCAGGTGGGGGCTGCGGGGGGGCTGGGTTGGGGGCTGGGGTAGCAGGGCAGGGAGTTGGCAACCGCTGGGGGGGGGGGCTTCGTTTCTGACTGGTCTCTGTTGAGCAGGAGGGGAGGGGAGAATTGGGGAGGTGGCTGGGGGGCACAACTGCCTGCTTCCATCAGTGGGATTGCAAAGACCCCTCCAAGAAGGCTTTGGGGCCTTTCTGTCCGTAGTCCAGCCCCCCTTGCAGGGCTTTGGGGGTGGGAGGGAGTAGGGGAGGGAGGGAAGGAAGGACACTGTGAGGAGCACCTGGGTGGGAGAAAAGAAGAGAGGGAGGGAGGAGTGGGGGAGAAGGGAGGAGAGAGAAAAAGCGGGAAAAGGAAGAAGGAGAGAGGGAGGGAGGGCAGAGGAAGGAAGAAGAGAGGAAAGGAAAAAAGATTGGAAGGAAGGAAGGAGGAAAGAGAGAAGGGGGGACAGGGAGGAGGGGTGAAGAAGAGAGAAAGGGAAGGAAAGAAAGGCTCCGTGGATGAGCATCTGGGCTTCTCTCCGGAGTCTTCAGCTTCTCCTCCTCCTCTTCGTCCCCAGAGCTGTCACAGAGAGCATCAACCAGCTGATCACCTTGTGTACCCAACAAGCGCCTGGCCAGAAGGAGTGCGACAACGCCCTCCGGGAGCTAGAGGTCTGTCCTGGGCTCCCCACTCTGCCCTTCCAGGGGATTTGGGGGCGTGTGGCTGTGGCTCCTGGGCTTCCCCCAGGAAGAGTTTTGCCTTGCGGAGGAAGCCACTCTGAGCGCTTGGGTGACGGGGGGATTCCTGCCCACCCAGGGGGCCAGAATTGGGGGGAGGGATCTGGGGGAGATCCAGGAAGGCCGAGCGGGGTCAGTTGGGGGGCCGGGCGTTGACTTGGGCTGCTGCTCTCCCTCCAGACGGTGAAGGAGATGCTGGAAAACGCCAGTGAGCCCGTGAGCGACCAGTCGTACTTCGACTGCATTGAAGGCGTCATGGAGAACTCCAAGGTAGATCTTCCCAATGGGGAAGGGATCCACCTGGGGGGGGACATGGTGCAGCTGAGGGGAGGGGAGAGGAGGGGACCTGGAGGGAGGGGCCCAGAGGGAGCTCTTTCCAGAAGCGGGGAAGGGCTGGACGGCTCTTCCGGAGAAGAAGGGGGCCTGGAGGTCTTCTCCGGAGAGACTCAGGCGTGGCCTCCTCACACGGGCTCTCTCCGAAGGTGCTGGGGGAAGCGATGGCCGGCATCTCCCAGAACGCCAAGACTGGCGACCTTCCTATCTTCGGGGAGTGTGTGGGGGTGGCCTCCAAGGCCCTCTGCGGTCTGACCGAAGCGGCAGCTCAGGTGGGTTTGGGTTGGTGCCGAATCCACGCCGGGACCTCCTGATTTCCCTCCGGCCCCTTGTGGGCGCTTTGCAGGAGTTTGGGTCCAGGGCGTCATTGGGGCAGAAGTGGCATTCGGGGAGCCTGCGGGTTTTATTTTGGCCTGGTCACTCTGGGCTTTCCAAGTTGCCAGGTTCGCAGTGGGGCAGCAAATGCCAACCTTCCTTGGAGACGGCTCAGGCGGGGCCCCTGTAATCCCCCTCCCAAGCAGTCGGGGAATACGTGGCATCCGGCATGAGGGCAGCTCTGCAGATGGGCTGGCCGAAGACCCGCTGGGCATTTCCCCGGCCTTTGGGGGGCCCTGGACGTCTGCTTTGCCTCTGGACTCTGTTGGAATGCCAGCAACTCCCCTTCTGCTTCCCTTCGGCCTCCTTCCCCAGAAGGCGCTTGGCGAATGGCCTGTTTCACACACACACACACCCTCTTGGTTGACTCCTAGGCCGCCTACCTGGTGGGCATCTCGGACCCCAACAGCCAGGCTGGTCAACAGGGCCTCGTGGATCCCATCCAGTTTGCCCGCGCCAACCAGGCCATCCAGATGGCATGCCAGAACTTGGTGGATCCAGCCAGCAGTCCGTCCCAGGTATGTCTCTCTCTCTCTCTCAGACACACACACACACACAGACACACACACACCACACACACCACACACACACACACACACACACGATTGTTAAGAAGAAAAGAGGCCTCTTGGGCAGCAGAAGGGAGCCTTTGCAAAGGCCTTTCCGATCAAAGGAAGCTTTGGCTGGACCCGGGACCTTGGCCAAGACCTGGGTCTCTCCTGGGTCTCTGCCCTTTGGCATCGCTTTCCACCTGCTGGCTCCTCGCGGCCAGCAGAGGGAAGGCCCCGTGAGCGTGGAGTGCCTGGGGGAGGACATATTTGACCTTTCCCAGGTCTCTGCTTCGGCCTCCTCTGACCGACAGCTGCCCTCCCTTGGCTCAAGCCGAGATAGACCATCCTGACCGCCGGATCCTTGAAGAAGAGGGACCACGGTGGTCAAGGGGTCCCTCCCTGGATTTCAGGAGTGTGAAGCCCTGTGCCCTCCCCCCTCCCCCTCTGCCTGTTTCAGGTCCTGTCGGCGGCGACCATCGTGGCCAAGCACACCTCTGCCCTCTGCAACGCCTGCCGCATTGCCTCCTCCAAAACGGCCAACCCCGTGGCCAAGAGGCACTTCGTCCAGTCGGCCAAGGAGGTGGCCAACAGCACCGCCAATCTGGTGAAGACCATCAAGGTGGGAGAGCCGGGACAGCAGCTTCCAGCCCCCCGACAGAGACCAGAGGGGGGCTGTGAAAGAAAACTCCCCCCCCCCGAAAGTTGCTTCTGCGAGGGAGGGGGGGCAGCAGAGGGCAGGCAGGGAGCAGTCCCTCCGTGAAGGGGACATTTTCTGGCCCTCGTCTCCAGGGGCGTCTGGGTCTCCTGTCCCAGGAAAGAGAAGCTGGTCGCCATCCCAAAGTTGAAGTCTGGGGTGACCAGGATCCATTTAAAGGAGGAATCTGGGGCG